CTGACATTTACTGGCCATATGAATTGCTTCCCTTTGGGGCTGCAGGAATATTTCCTTTGTCCCTATAAAAACATGGATAAATGAGAACTCTTTGTAACTCTAAGATGCATATTACCCTTTCTCTGACCATGAAGAATTTTCCAGTCTAGGGTTTGTCTTTTCAGCTTTTGACATTATTCTGGTTTTTGTTTTGACCAGGAAAAGTCAGCATTTTCCTCTGTGGCTTCTGGCTCCCTACTCATTCAAAAGTAGTTCCTACTTCAAGATTATGGCAATAATAACTATCAGGCCTTTGTGTTTCTACATGGAGTCTTTGATTTTTCTGTACTTTTCCTCTTACTAAAAACATAAAATGAAAATTAATCAGTTCTTTTTCATATTATGTGGCCAGATACAAAAGGCCACATAACATATAAATGTACTCATAGGAACAATCCACGATAGGTAAGTTCACACACACAAAAAATGGAGAGGTTGTCAGGGACTGGCAGAGGCGGGATGGGGAGTGAGAGCTTAAAGTCTACCGAGCAGATAAAACTGTTTGGTCACTAGACGGTGGTAAGGGTCGCACCATATTAAAAAATTTGCTTAATGACATTGAATTGTAATTTTGAAAATATTGAAAATATTTTATTTTATACAAGGGATATAATTGAAAATAAAAGATGAAAATGTTTGAGGAGATGGAGGACACAGACAAAAACGAGGAGAAGCACAGCGTCAAGGAAGGGGAAGAGCAGTTCTGGAGTGGGGACTGGTGAGGGTGTTTGTGGGAGCTCTGGAGCCAGGGCTCTCCTGGGTGCTGGTGTTTCTTCTCATTCTTTGGATGTTTCAGGATCAACGGTTACGTCAGCTTGCTCTGGCTCTATCTCTGGATCGTGATCTTGCTCCTCCTCTTTCTCTTCTGCTGGATCTTGCTCGTGCTCTACCTCTTTCTCTGGCTTGGGCTCTGAATTTTGCTCTCGCTCTGCCTCTGGCAGTGGAGGTGGGGCTGGAGCTGGAGCTGGAGCTGAACACAGCAGTAGCTCTTGGGACAGTTGTTCAGCCTGGGCGGAAGCTGGAACTGGAGAGACAAGAATGGAAAATATCAACGTGAGTTTCTATGTCTCTTCCAATGACACTGTCTTTCTGAGAAGCCCAAGTCCAGAGACCCAGCCTCAGGAAGTCTCCCCACACTGCAGAACACCACATGATTGTTCTGAGTACTCAGTGCCCCTGTCCCCAGCCTGCTTCTGGAAACTCTGCTCTGTGTGGCCCAGCCCAGCCCCCTCCCCAAACCCTCACAGGCACGCACCCTCTTCCTCCTCACCCTCAGTCTCCGCCTCACTAGGTTCCAGGTATTCCAGCTTCTCCAGCTGTGCCAGAAGAAGGTCAGCCTTGCGCTCCACCTCTGAACTCAGCCTATAGACATGTAGAGAGGCTGACAGAAACTTCAAGGAATGAAATCCAGGAGGCTCGTGGAAATCAGTGGAATAGAATTCCAGCCAGATCTTTAGGATGGAGGACATGGCACTGGGGGAGACAGGTGAGTAGCAGTGTCAGAGGCCTGGCCTATCCCTCTATGCTGCCCTACTAGGGCTCCCCTGAGTGAGCTGCAGTCTTGTACCCTCTGCCCCTGCCTGTCCATAGACCAGCCCCTCCAATGTCCACCCCCAGTCTGGCAGCCGTGGCAGAGATGGGCCTGGCGACCAAGGAGGGGCTGGCAAAAGCCTCCGTGGGAGGAGCCTTCAACCACTGGTGTGACCACCCTTCACTTCTTCAGGGAAACCTGACACCCTCCTCTGTCTGTGTCACTGCCCCATCCCTGCTGGAATGACCTGTCCACCCCAGGAGGGTGCTGTCTGCTCTGGGCAATACTGTCTGGCACACAGGAAGTATGCAGGAATATCTGATAAATGAGGAAACAGAGGGAGGCTCTGCTCCCCTGGCCTACCCAGGGCCCTTGGCAAAACCCAAACATGAGCTCACATGTGGATGTACTGCCCAAGTGTCTGCATGAAAATCTGCATCTCCTCTTCCCACTGACACTGATCTCTTGGCCCTGACCACACTCCGCACCCCAGCACCAGCTGAGCATCCCCATGGAGGCTCCAGCCCCGAGTGTGAGCGGGATGCTCTGCACACCTCCTGCTCTGGCTCAGCACAGGCTCTGGGGGTGTGGTCAGGGCTGGGTGGGAGGGGGTGGGGATGGATTCTCTCTGGGCTCACTGTGCTCGCCAGGCACTTGCACACCCTACAGTGCCTGGGGCCCCATCCCCAGCCCGTCTCGACTCCTTTTCCTGCAGGGAAACCCCTGAGCCCTCAGCCCTGTAGCAGGAATCATAAGATGTGTGGGAGCCAGAGTTTGGCCAGCCCCCCACTCACAGGCCCACACAGACCACACACAGTTGTGTGGAGATGAGAGCCCCTCCATGTGCACACAAGCCCCACTTACCATTTTAGCTGCTTCAGGGATTTGCCAGCCCCGTGACAGACAGAAACCATGTTTTCGTACCTAGAGGAGGCCAGAGAATATCTGATAAATGAGGAAACTGAGGGAGGCTCTGCTCCCCTGGCCTACCCAGGGCCCTTGGAAAAGCCCAAACTTGAGCTCACATGTGGATGTACTGCCCAAGTGTCTGCATGGAAATCTGCATCACCTTTTCCCACTGACACCAATCTCTTGGCCCTGACCACAATCTGCACCCCCAGCACCAGCTGAGCATCCCCCTGGAGGCTCCAGCCCCGAGTGTGAGCGGGATGCTCTGCACACCTCCTGCTCTGGCTCAGCACGGGCTCTGGGGGTGCGGGCAGGGCTGGGTGGGATGGGATATGTTCTCTCTGGGCTCACTCTGCTCGCCAGGCACTTGCACACCCTACAGTGCCTGGGGCCCCATCCCCAGCTCATCTTGACTCCTTTTCCTGCAGAGAAAGTCCTGAGCCCTCAGCCCCGTAGCAGGAATCATGAGATGTGCGGCAGCCAGACTTTTGCCAGCCCGCCACTCACAGGTCCCCGCAGACCACACACACTTGTGTGGAGATGGAAGCCCCTCCATCTGCACCCAAACCCCACTTACCATTTTAGCTGCTTCAGGGATTTGCCATCCCCGTGGCAATCAGATACCATGCTTTCGTACCTAGAGGAGGCCAGAAGGGTGTCACATCTACCATATGGTGGCACTACCTGCTTCTCATGTCTACTGTGACTGTCTCACCTCTGACTAGAATGCAAGCCCAGGAGGGCAGGGAATGTAGTCTCCTTGGTTCATTGGATCATGGTCAGTGCCCAGAAAGTGACTGCACATAGTGTGGCTTCACATATGTTTGTTGAAGGAATGAATCCCAACCAACACCTCCCAAGAGAGCTGGGTGCACCTGAAGCTGCTCTGCCAGCCCCTGGTCTCCCTGCTTTGAGTACACCCAGAAGCCTGCAGATAGAATCTCAGATTTCTTGTAAAAATGTAAAAACAGTGAAGCCCAAGTCAACGAAGTCAGTGAGGGGGTGACAGAGACTTCCTGATGGGGGGGCAGGAATCCTGAATGAGGATAACCGTGGCCCCTCCAGCAGACCTTCCACAGGGCTGGACTCAGAAGCAGCACTTTCCATGGGGGACCCACTGGAGCTTGTTCCTGTTACCACTCTACTGATCACAGGAGGAAACTGAGGCTCCGACGGGTGTGGTGACAGTCCCAAGACTCACAGCTGGGAGGCGGCCTAGTGACACTGTGCGATCGGCTTCTCATGTCTACTGTGACTGTCTCACCTCTGACTAGATTGGAAGCCCAGGAGGGCAGGGAATGTAGTCTCCTTGGTTCATTGGATTATGGTCAGTGCCCAGAAAGTCACTGCACATAGTGTGGCTTCACATATGTTTATTGAAGGAATGAACCCCAACGAACTCCTCCCAAGATAGCTGGGTGCACCTGAAGCTGCTCTGCCGGCCCCTGGACTCCCTTCTTTGAATAAACCCAGAAGCCTGCAGATAGAATCTCAAATTTCCTGTAAAAATGTGAAAACAGTGAAGCCCAAGGCAACGAGGTCAGTGAGTGGGTGAAAGAGACTTCCTGATGGGGGGGGCAGAAATCCTGAATGAGGACATCCGTGTCCCCTCCAGCAGACCTTCCACAGGGCTGGACTCAGGAGCAGCACTTTCCATGGGGGACCCACTGGAGCTTGTTCCTGTTACCACCCCACTGATCACAGGAGGAAACTGAGGCTCGGAAGGGTGTGGTGACAGTCCCAAGACTCACAGCTGGGAGGTGGCCTAGTGACACTGTGCAATCAAGGTCCAGAATGCTCACCTGAGGAAAAGCAGGTCCAGCACCTGCTGGGGGCTGGCAAAGTTCCTGTAGCTCCCCAGAAACACGTGGACGTAAGATCGATCACCACCCAGGACAGCAGGCACCAGGTGTTCCACCCGCTTCTGCAGGGTGCCTGCCGGGACAGGCCACACCATGGGGGTGGCATCCAACCCCAGGGAAGAGTTTTCTTCAATCTAGGACAGGACATGGGAGAGATACACAGTGACAGCACCGTGAACCCAGAGGAGGGAAGGGGCTGGAGGCCAGTCTTAACTCCAGGGAGGACATGAGAAGACAGCCTGAGGGCCCAGGGTTAATGTACAGGGTGGTGGTTGCCACCCCGGCAGTCCCCTTTCATCCTCCAGAAATGACCTGAGGTGTGAACACACCAGGACCAGCAGGTTGATAAACGTCCCACCCTCTGCCCCTACCCAGGGAGGGTGTCCAATGTCCCCATTCCCCACACACTCAGGAGGGGGCTGTGGTCACCCAGGGAGGCTCACAGTGCTGGCCTGGCCTGGGCTGGACCACCCTCTCCTGGGCCACCTGACATTACCTTTGGGGACCTCCTGCCAAACGGCCACAGGAGCCCAGGGCGAGGGCTGAACCAGCGCCGGAAGCATAGGACAAGCCTCTCAGCACAGGGCTGCCTGGGGCTACGGCCCCGGGACCTCGGGATACAGCACAACATCTCACTCTGCCTGTGGCCAAGTGAGCTGGGGAAGGGACTGGGTATAGAATGTGGGTGCCAGGTTACCGAGTTCCGAGTTCCGTTGGGGTCTGTCGTCAAGGAAGTGCGGTCACTTCCTGCTACCTCATTTCCTGGGCCTCTCTTCTGCGTACAAGACTGCACACGACTCTCTGGGTACCTGACTGCTGACCCTCCTTCCCCATGAACTCTCTCTATTGCCCACACTTCCACCAACACTGCCTGACCACACCCCTGTGCAAGGCCTGGGTGCAGCCAGCCTCACAGCTCGCAGGAGATACGTGTAGGTTCAGCCCCAGCTCATGCTTCTTATCACTCATGTGACACTGGACACGCCATTGTGACTCTCCGGACCTCCCCAGTCTCCCCTTCTGTACAGTGGTGATCGTTCTAGCATCTTCTTCCTAGGGATGGCATCAGGTATGTGTGAGAAAACATCTCTAAAACCTATGGCCAGTGTCATATGCAGCTAATAAACAAGACTAGAGATAAAATCCATGACGGTGTGGAAGGTAGCAAGGAATACGACTCACGACAGGTCTGGCTCATGTCATATAATCTTGAAAATGTCACTTTTGCTCTTGGCCTGTTTTCCCTGTCTGCACCATGCGACAGTTGGAATTTCATGCATTCACATACTGCTGTCCTCCATAAAACCTCACAAAGGCTTCATGTGTATTTAGGTTTGGACTCAAGTGCCCCATCTCTGTCTGTGCGGTGGGCGACTCCTCAGGGGCTCCCAGTGGTCCCCACCATCTGCTGCACACATCCTCATTTAATCCTCTGCCCTGCAGTGTGGACTGAACTTAGTGACTCCCTTCTAACCCACAGAGTATCAAATGTGAGAAGGTGTCACTTTCTGAATGTCATGGTAACACGCCTGCCACTAGAGTCTTGTGCTCTGTCTCCTCTGCTCTCTCTGTGAGTATCTACCATATGCCAAGCATGGTGCCGAGAGCTGGAGAAAGAGCTGATTCAGCTGCACCCTGGCTTGGGAGATGATCCCAGTATAAGGAAGAAGAGAAGACTTGCTATCGGGTGGCTGCCATTCTAAGAGAGGAAAGGGTAAAGTGATCCAGGAGGCCATCAGAATATTCTAGATTAGGAAGCTACCTGAAGATGGTAGGAAATGAACACCATGTGCAGAGAAGAACCAGAGGTGTTTGGCCCATTAAGATGACAGCAACATGTAACTTATGTATAAGATATAGTAAGAAATACTATTCACAAATTCAAATCGTATTTTCAAAATCATTGAACGGCAGGAAAAAGTGCTCATGTTAAATGCAAACAAAACTAGAATTGAGTAAGATACCATTTTTGGAATAACTTTATATCTACGTTAGATGAAAGTATGCAGATATGTTCAGCAATTCTTTTCAAATCGTATGAAATATCCATTGTTGACATAATCAGGATTTTACCCCCATACTCTGGCTTCACAGCCCATTTTCTTGGCACCAGACACATGTCGCTGTGATGTAGGCCCATTGGTCTCAACACTATCCCAGCCCACAGCCTACTTACTGGTCCTGGGAGACAGCAACCGTGTCACTCTTTTGTGCCCAGAATCCAGGGCCTGACANCAGATGCTAAGTGCAAACACAAGATCGGCACCTCGGCTTGGTTGAGTTGAAGCCAATGCAACTCCTAGTTCAAAGAGGCCCCGAGTCTTCTGTTTGGGATGCAATCCACACCATGACTGACAGATCTGACGGGTTTCAATAGTTAGCAGGGTTGAAGATGTCTCAGAGAATGTGGGAAAATGAAAATTCTGAGAAGAAAAGAGGGAAGCAGCCAAAACTTCCATGGAGCAGGGCTGGCCCATGCGTACTTGCGGAGTGCGGTGCTGACAGCACAAGGGCCACGGGTGGCTGGTTAGCTCACTTGGGAGAGCGCAGTGCTGACAAGACCACGTCAAGGGATAGGATCCCCTTACCGGTCAGCTTTAAAGAAGGAAAAAAAAAAAAAAAAAAACAGGAATTTTTATCAACTGAATAACTTGTCGCCATTGCTTTTCATTACAGAATATGAGATGGTTCTGTGTTCAAATATTTTGGCAGTTGGACATCATGAAATCAAAATTAGAAATGGAATGTAGTTCTAAAACCTCATCAAATTACAGTGATA